GCGTGAAAGAGAGAAAGTAAGAAAGACATGAAAAAAGAAAAAATACAAGTCTGAAAGAAAGATCTGAAAATGAAAAATGAAGGAGAAAGAAAGAAAGAAAGAATATGCAAAACAGAAAACTTTAAAAGGGAGATAAAGCCGAGAAGATAAAACGGGAAATGAAAAAAGATAAAGAGAAAACGTAAGAAAGGCGCGAACTGAACAAAGAAACCTAAAGAGAAGGAATGATGAAGATGCATGTCCGTAAGTAAAATTTCTAGAGCACCGAAGGAATATGGAAATGATAAGAAAAAAAAAAAAGGCCCCAAAGATGATGGCAAAAAAGGAACGGGGGAAAATCTGAAGGTGGCAAGCGAGTACGAGGGCCGGAGGAGGGAGAGAAGATTTGAAAAGCACAGATCTAAACAGGTTGTTCCTTGGCCGGCGCCATTTTACGGGCTCGGAGGTAAATAACATACTTTCTAAAGCTTTCTTCATTAATTTAGGTAACCATTTGTCTGGCCGCTAGGCCATGTTTTGTGTGTTGGGTAAGACAGGGATAAAGAAATGTTTGGAGTAACCAAAAGTGTTGGAGATTTTGATTAAGAGAGAATTAGGAAGAGCAGGTGAATACGGATTATAGTGGGTGTGAGGTGGAAGAGTGCGTATGTCTGTATGTCTGTTTGTATGTCTTTCTGTATGTATGTATGTATGTATGTATGTGCTCTAATATGTAGATTTTTTATATGCTAATGTTAACCATCTTTTTATATAGGATAGTTTCAGATTGCTTCTTTGAAAATAAAATTGTATGTATGACTGCTATTTTACGTGGTTATAAGTTTGTACAAAAACATCTATAAAGACATCTATAATCATGTGCTTATAAGTATGTACAAAGGTATCTATAATAAAAAAAAATAGCACGATAATACAAACTGACACGTGAAAACGCGATACTAAATCCGATATGACATGTGAAGACGCAATATCTGAAAGACGATGACACTGCTGCCATATATGGTCTGGTGTCCCTGTGTTCGCCTTAACGTCCTCGACAAAATCCAGAGACGGATATGCAATGTGATTGGTTCTGATCTGGCATCTCGTCTACAATCGCTCTCTCACAGACGTGCCGTCGCCTCCCTCTGTCTTTTCTACAAATATTTTCACGGTAACTGCCCCGACGAGGTACTTTCGCTCCTTCCCAGACTGCATGAATTTAAGCGTGCTACTAGGTTGGCATCACGGTCCCACCCTTTCACTGTCGAAACGGTTAGGTGTGGCCGTCTCTTCTACCCCAAGAGCTTCATGCCACGCACCTCCCGTTTGTGGAATTCCCTTCTTGTTTCCCAGATTGCTATAATCTCCAACAATTCAAATGTAATGTCAATCGACATCTCCAGATGCCTTGATCTATTCCATGTCCTTCTCTTCATCCTTTCCTCCTGCACGCCTCTTTACTCTCGCTCCCACTCTGTAACCCCTTGCGTGCTTGCTTGGGGTGAAATGCTTTAAAAAAAATCTTTGATAATGGCTTATAAAATCCGAAAGTACTCAGTTATTGAACAATGTATATTCAACATTTAACGATTTCCGGTCTTCGGGCTGGAATGAAAATGTAGTATATTATATGGGGCTTGCCTGATCCACGGGATTGCAACCATATGGAATTCCTCGTTTCAAAAAAGAGATGAGGTTGATGGATACCGACGGCAGTGTGACATTGGTTGAGGCGATTATCTTGTATGTAAACGTATGGGCACCGCACATTAAACCTGATCTTGTGTTACATGCTACCTTCGTGGGTAGGTCAATAAATACAGATTTATTTAAGCTTACACCGAAAACCAAGAAAATGATATGAAATATAGAAAAAAAATAATCATTAACAAAAAACATCCGTTTGTCTTTTACCAAACTTGTATAAATAAAAAAAACATCTATAGTATCTAGATAGTTTAGACACTTGAATAAAGAATGAAAATTAAGTCATAAGTGAAGTCATCGTATCAGAGAACCGATCAACTTCAAAAAGCAAGAATTCAAAACGCATTTACGGGTAAGTTTGCAAGTCAGTCGATGGGTTGAAAGGGCATTCAAATATTCATAAGAATAAACCGTATGACAACAAAATGTGAGTCGCACATCTTCCAAATTTGTGCTGCATGTTTTTAAAATATTTGTCCAGTTTAAAGAACCATATTCGTTCAAATCCCAACTAATCCTTACAATGATATCTTGTGATTGCTATACTCGAAAACGAGGTTGTAGTCATCATATACAGAAGGTGTACAGGTTACGTCGGAACCGACGTACGGCTTTTCGTAAGGAAATCGTCTTACAGCCTGACGTGCTGTTAAACATTAAGTCACAGAGAACTTTTTCGGTTAGTAAAGTTCAAATTACTGCCTATAAACACACATCTTCGACGATCTTTCTCGATAATTCATTTCTGTTCGAAAACGTAGAAAATATGCGTTCTCCGACGGGAATCGAACTTGTATCCCATAAAGAAACCATCACGTAGCCAGACGTGCTGTTAACGATTCAGCCATAGAGAACTTTCCGGTTAGCAAATACAATATGTTGTCATTGTTTACGTTAGGTTACGTTTCGAAGCAGAAATTAATTATCGCGAATGATCGTCGAAGATGCGTGTTTATAAACAGTAATTTCGACTTTACTAATGAAAATTTCTCTGTGGCTGAATGGTTAACAGCACGTCAGGCTGTATGATGATTTCCTTACGAAAAGACGTACGTCGAACATTCAAACCGGTAAATGTAATTAATACCGTTTAATTAAAACAGAGCATTTACTCAAATAAGTTGTATCCATAAAATAACGTATAAAGAGAATATATATATATATATATATATATATATATATATATATATATATATATATATATATATACAATTGTAATGGTAGACATTTATTTATGTAAAATAAAATCGGCATTCATTGACCGAGAAGTCAGCGTTACGGTTGAATCAAATTCATAAAATATTTTTATTGAAACAATTTGTCAGGAAAATAGCTTTTTCAAGTCCACAGTTATCGCTTCTTCCAGTAATGACGGAGGTTTCCTTCCTAAGTTTCCTTGAAGCAGTGTGGAACATCAACATCTTGATTCTGTAATTATTATCTCACTGCATTACATGTGCTATCTATCTTAGTTGTGGCTGTTGTTGAAAATCCTCAAGTGATATGGGTTTTTACTATTTGGTAACGACCTTTATCGTTCTTTAACGCCAGTTCAAGATCTCCGAAAACAGGTCCTCTCTAGGAATTATAGTCTTCATTCGTTTGAAGCCATTTTTAGTCTTAGATCTGAGAAAGCTCTTGGATAAACTGATAGTCTAGATATTTCTGAACGAGTTTGGCGCCATTTTTTTTACATTCGTATGGAAGTCTCAATCTGACGAGAATATTTAAGGAAATGATTTGAGTTTTGAGGTTAATGTTTTGGTTTTGTAGGAACTTAAAGTATTGTGTGAAATTATACCTAGCGCAGCCTATTCTTCTATACTAAATTTGTTAACTGATCAATACACCAAGGTATTTGAAGTGCTTAGTATTCACTAATTCCACATTATGATTTTTTATGATAGATTTTGTTGTGGATTCCGGGTTGAAATCCGGTACCAATAAATAACAAACGCCAGGAATGAATATATGAAAATAATGTATTAACGTAATAATACAAACTGGTAAAGCAGGTTAGTAGTTCCAGGAATACGGGTTAGTAGCAATATATATATATACAGTCTTTGGTATTGAAGTATCGCTGTATGACTTCTTACTGAGTCTACGTGCTCGCTCACTGTGACTCCTACAACGCTGTTACCTCACCCTCACTTTTCTGGTTACCTACAACCTTTTAATCTGTCACTTTGGACTCAACTCGACTCTTCGGTCTTGCTCCCTCGTCTCGCTCTCAGGTCTTCACGTAGCCGTAGTATATGTATATACTGGGTGAGTCCATTTGTATAAAAAGGGGAGAACCCCTCAACAGATTAAGTGTAGGTAGCATCACTGCTGTCTTTTCAATAAAAGATCAGAGGTTTTGTTTAAGAAAGGTTTATCTTCAGTTCTAGATGTTATCCAAAGAATCTTGTTAGTCTTTTAATCTATCAAATTGCCTTACTTTTTCCCGTATCTCACCAAGAACCTCAGGAAACCAGGACATATAGAAGCTTATTTTTAATAATACTTTTTATACTTCAGGGAACATATATATATATATATATATATATATATATATATATATATATTCCCAAAGTAAATACACACACATATATATATATATATATATATATATATATATATATATATATATAGAGAGAGAGAGAGAGAGAGAGAGATATTATTAGTGGTAAATATACACATACATATGCAAAATATATAAATATATATACATAGGTGCATACACATACAGGTATATTTTTTGAATAAAAATTTCCAAGAGGATAAAATCCAGGTAGAACTCAATGTCCAGGACAGAGTAAGGATATAATAAAAAGGTTTAAACACTAATATCCCATGGTCATAATTTATTCCATTGGAATCGTAAATTCGATCCAATTCATCAGACCTACAATTTCAAGTTTGAATTTCTAAATATGATCCAATTCATCAGACCTACAAATTGAAATTTGAATTTGTAGGTCTGATGAATTCGATCGTATTTACGATTCCAATGGAATAAATTATGACCATGGAATATTAGTGTTTAAGCCTTTTTATTATATATATATATATATCTATATATATATATATATTCCTAAAGTAGACATATGTACTCAGGTATATATATATATTTATATTCAAGGATAGGCAAATAAATGTTTCTTTCTCTTTCTTGAGCTAGATATTAGTATATATAAGAATGTGGGTGTATGTGCGCGTGCATCGGAGTTGGTGCATGTGTGTATGCCTGTGTATATGTGTGAATACTCATAACCACAGAAAATCAGACAACACATACACATATATAAATTAGGCATAACTTCCACATGTACTTCTATTCAAAACAATTTACCGGCACATGCCTGCATAAGTATTTCGTCTTTTATACAAATAAAACTTCATAGCACTCTTTCTCTTTTATTTCCCTATCTATCTATCTATCTATCTATCTATCTATCTATCTATCTATCTATCTGCATGTATGTATGTATGTATGTATATTCTCCGCTATCTATCTATCTATCTATCTATCTGTTCTCGGCTCTGTCAATCTATCTATCTATCTATCTATCTATCTATCTATCTATCTATCTATCTATCTATCTATCTCATGTTTTTCTCTGTGCATCTATTTCAGTTATATTAACGCTTAAGATTCTATCTATCTATCTATCTCTTTCATTTTTCTGTGTGCATCTATTTCAGTTATATTAAAGCTTAAGATTATATCTATCTATCTATCTATCTATCTATCTATCTATCTATCTCATTTTTTCTCTGTGCATCTATTTCAGTTATATTAACGCTTAAGATTCTATCTATCTATCTATCTATCTATCTCTTTCATTTTTCTGTGTGCATCTATTTCAGTTATATTAAAGCTTAAGATTATATCTATCTATCTATCTATCTCATGTTTTTCTCTGTGCATCTATTTCAGTTATATTAAAGCTTAAGATTATATCTGTCTGTCTATCTATCTATCTATCTATCTATCTATGCGTGCATACATTCAAACGGCTCACAAACACTAACATACTCATGAAAACGAATACAAACGTACGTGTAAATGTATTCATCTATAGACACACGCACGCTCTTCTACTGCCTTACGGTTGTATACAGAAACCTCTGACTTACCGACCATAATGATTTCGCACAAGATGAAGTTGTTGGAGAAGAACCGCTTCCAAGAATTTCGGTGCCATCACCGACACCGTAACGTCACTGACATCGAAGACATCAAATCAGGAGGCGGCATTAGCGGCGATGAGAGCGCTAGTGAAGGCATGAAACATTTCTTTGGGCATCGCCCATTTATCCCCATTACTGGATTCCTGGAAAAATCCGCCGCCTTCCCCCGGCTGTGGACATGATGACGAGCGTTGAGCATTATTTTTGGCAAGCTCTGCATTAATAACCGTCAAGAAGGAAGGAGGAGAGGAGAGGAGAGGAGGAAAAAATGATAGAAGACAGTGAAGGGGAAAACAGAGGAAAAATAATGAATGAAAAAAGAAATAGAAAAATGAAGAAAAAAAAGAAGGAAAAGACAAAGAGGTTGAAAAGAAAGAAAGAAAGAAAGAAAGAAAGAAAGAAAGAAAGAAAGAAAGAAAGAAAAATGAAAGAAAGAAAGAAGGAATAAAAAAGAAAGAATAAAGAAAGAAAAAAGAAAGAAAGAAAGAAAGAAAGAAAGAAAGAATAAAGAAAGAAAGAAGTAAAGAAAGAAAGAAAGAAAAAAAAAGAAAGAAAGAATAAAGAAAGAAAGAAAGAAAGAAAGAAAGAATAAAGAAAGAAAAAAGAAAGAAAGAAAGAAAGAAAGAAAGAAAAAAAAAGAAAGAATAAAGAAAGAAAGAAAGAAAGAATGAATAAAGAAGGAAAGAAAAAAGAATAAAGAAAGAAAAAAGAAAGAAAGAAAGAAAGAAAGAAAAAAGAAAGAAAGAAAGAAAGAATAAAGAAAGAAAAAAGAAAGAAAGAAAGAAGGAAAGAAAGAAAGAAAGAAAAAAGAAAGAAAGAAGCGTTGTCCAATATTAAAAGTGAAAGGAAGAAAACGAGGGAAAATAAAGGAATGTTGAGTGAAAGTAAAAAAAAAATGGAAGAAAGGTTAAGAAAGGACTTAAAGGAATACAGTTAGGTGAAAGAAAATCAATCAAGAAAAGAAAGAAAAAAAGAGACAGACTACGTTTAAAAAAAAAACGAGAGAGAAAAAACAAAACCAAATTACAAAGAAAGTAAGAAAGAGAGGAAGTTGAAGTAAAGACAAAGGAGAAAAGTAAATAAATAAAAAACAATGAAAGAATTAAAGAAAGAGGAAGGGAAAGTTGGGATAGAAAGAAAGAAGCAATTAAAGATAGCATAAAAAGAAAAAAGAATCATTAAGAGAAGAAAGAAAGTCCTCATGGAAAGAAAGAAAGAAAGAAAGAAAGAAAGAAGAATATTGGAATAAAGAGAAATAAAGAAACAAACAATTAAAGATGTTTGAAATAAAGAGAACAAAGGAAACAAATGAGAGAAGTAAAGAAAGAAAAAATAATTAAAGTAAAAAAGAACAAGAAGGTAAAAGAAAACGGGAAAAACGAGCGATTAATTTTAATATATAGAAAAAGATAGCAACAATGAGAGAAGAAAACGAAGAAGCAAGTCATTGAAAGAAAGAAAGAAAGAAAGAAAGAAAGAAAGAAAGAAAGAAAAAAAGAAAGAAAGAATAGAGGAAAATGATGGAGTGGGAGAAGAGAAGTGAAAATACTATGAAGAAGACAATGAGATGAAGGGAGAAGAGAAGAGACTAAGAACATATAAAAAGAAACAATGAGGAAATCTAGAACAAAAAGAGCGAGCGAAGAAAGTAAAAAAAAAAACTAGAATGGTGAAAAAAAGAACAAATGAAAGAATGGAAAAAGATAAAGAAAGAAAATAAAGATCGAAGGAAGTAAAAAAGAAGAAGAAAAGAAGAGAAGGAAGGAGAAAATGGGACGGAACACTGAAATAAGCGAATGTAGAAATATTAAAGTAACTAGAGAACAATAGAAACAGAATAGAGAAGTGATGAATAATGACAGAGAGAAGAATAAAATGCAAAAGCTAAAAAGGGAGGAGAGCTGTCTGGGGTGATCTAAAAAAAGAAAGAAAATGATTGGAAAAAAGAAAGAAAGAAAGAAAGAAAGAAAGAAAGAAAGAAAGAAAGAAAGGGTAAAAGAGAAATGGAATTGAATCAGAAAGAAAACATTATATAAAAGATTTGTTATAGAAAAGTGAAACTAAATGAAAAAATATAGGATAAGTGAAAAAGATGAATTTGCAAGAAAAAATAAAGACAGAGAGAAATTGATGGGTACCTGAGGTGAGAACGAAGTAAATGAAGAAACATAACGGAGAGGTGTAGAAAATATGACAGGCAGCCGAGAAAATGAAAACGGTAGATTCGGAAAATGAAGTGAAGATAAATATGGTGGAAAAGTAAAATGTAGAACGAGATAAATGAGAAAGGAAAGAGAATTGTGATAAAGTGGGGAAGAAGAAGAAATTGATGACATGTAAAACGAGTGAGAAGAATTCAGAGAAGCTACCAAAATAAGAATAACGGTAGAAAAAAAAAAAGGTTTAGGAAAGAAAAAAAAACAGCAAAACAAAATCAGAAAAAGGATTCGAATAAAAATTTCATAAAAAGAGAATTGTTTGAAAAATAAGGGAAAATTGAGGAAGGTCGAAAGAAGAGTGAAAAACGTTGATGGGGATTGAGGGTTGAGAATGTTTACGCATGCGTATGTTTTTGAGTGCACAAGTGCGCATGGTTGTTTAGGTGTGTGTGCGCATGCGTATACGTTGTAAAAGTAGACAGTTCATTTTTAAGTACAATTTGTTTTCCAATGAGTCAAATTGTTGGAATATTGCCAATAAATAAATGAATCAAGGAAAATGCCAGCAAAATAAACATTAAAATTCACAAGAAACGGCATTCATCGCATCGTCTGATCGAACACCCACTTCGAACGATGAAGGACCCTAGTGGCCGGCTTTGCAAGCATATTGATTATTACGGCTGTAGACATAGGTCAAGAAAGAATTTTTCTCAGTATCAGATTACTGAGTCAATTAACAAGTTTAAAAATTGATTTCGCAGTAGTAACAAGTGGGATCGGATTTTGCGATGTGAGTGCGCGATGACAATTACTTTTCAAAATCTTTGAGTTTGAAGAGACTTTTTTTTTAGACAAAGACTTATGTATAAATATATCTGTGCGTGTTTGTGAATTTGTTTTGGAAAAGTCACGAAAAAGGTTTTCTCTTAATGCAAACCTTATATTCGCACGCCATACCTGAGGGTCGATGGCGGTAAATAAAGATTCAATAAACAATTCTGACAAAAGGCCAGCATCAAGTAAAAAGGGAGCTCACCACTCAACCAAACCGTTTATAAAGATTTATCATTCTTATATAAAGGTATAGGTTCCTGCGCTTTTACGCTAAAAAAGAACATAGCATGAAGAAAAAGGTCTCGAACTTGATGAAAATAAAAGTTTTATCATCAAAATGATTATGTTATTATTAAAAGGAAAGACCAAAGTATTTTTTATTGTTTTATTATTTCTTTAATCCTTTCTAGCACGTTCGAAATTTTAGTTAAAAATCTTGTTTTTTTTTTGTTTGTTTGTTTTTTTTTTTTGCTTTAGAGTTGGGCCAAAGATTACAATGGAAAATTTAGTGCCTTTTTTGCGGAAAAATAACACATTGATTTGGAAACTCTTGCAAAAATCAAATAATTGTCAGATTTTAAGGAAATTTTTAGGACTTATTCATAAATGAATGATATTATTTTTAAAATAAGATTTTTTTAGAAAAGCTTGCTAGAAATATTTTTACATTTATATTTTTTTTATATTTTTATATTTTTACATTTATTATTTTTTTTATATTTATTTTTTTATATTTTTACTCAATTTTATGAAATTTTGTGAAATTAAATTTTCATCCGAATATTTTTTATATTAGTTAAAAGCAAGAGTCCTTGGAGAATATAGATCTGTTTTTTTTTTTCAAACAGTTACTCATTTACTAAAAATCTGTTACGAATCGTAAAATAAAAAAAAATGAAATAAAATTTGATATCAATTAGTTAGAAAAGATTTTAATTACTTTTAAGAATAAGATATATTAAGGGCGCTATTGTCTGAAAAAAAATTTTCGATATACAATGAATTTTTACAAATATTGTTTTCATTTTCAAAATTTTAATTAAAATAATTTATAAAGTTTTAAATTCTGATGATATTGTTCTTAAGGGAAAATTGCATTTACTAAACATAAGTGGAAAGATTAATACAAATCATCATTCAACAAGATTTTTAAAAGAACGTTGATTTTTTTTTTTAGTGTATAAACGTGCCGATTTTTTAAATACAGTCGACCATACGCGAAATTATCAGAAAATAATAGCGATAACTGTATTAAATTTAAAGCTGAAATTTCTATAATTCAATAAAACATTGCATTTCGGAGAATATTTTCCTAAATATTTAAGATTACTGATTACTTAAAAATTATATTTAAAAAAGGCGCTCACGTCATTTTCTCAAATTATGTTTTACAGATAAAGTCTCATTAGAACTGCCATCACCTCGTCAAACACGTAAACACAACTACTGTCGGTTAAATAAACAGCCACTGTTTGCTTAAAATTTCCTTTCTGCGATATTTTAAATTGCATAAATAATATTTGTTTTAAATCAAATTAATTATACTTTAAATCAGCTAATATTCCTCAAATCAAATTTCAATAAAATGTATTTACTTTTTACAAGTTTTTAAAACCGAGAACTAACTTGTATTTGCAAATGTCTCATAACTGGACGACTTTAAAAAGTGAAAATGGATTCCAATTAATATTATTTCTATCTGAAATACAACAGAATATTTTGCTTACTGGAAATAATATAAATTTAATCCTTTATCTTTCAAATAAAGCTGAAATTAAAGCTTCAAGAAAGCTTTTTCTTTAAAAAAAAAAAAAAAATTAATTTTAAACCTTAGGAATCGCTATTTTTGTGGAGGTATCTATATAAGAATGTATAACTCCAAGAAAGAGACTCATTGCGCCTTTTCTAACTAACGTTTTCCGACGACATGTGGAAAGAGTATATTGAGTCAATTAAGAAAATTGATTCAATATGTCGTGCTAGATAATTTTTCTCGACAGAATCTATCTTACATATTTATAAGTCTGCTATTCATCATTGCTTGGAAATTTGCTGCCACATCTCGTTTGTGTCTCTTGCTATATATTTAAAGATTCTTGTTAAAATCTAAAGAGGAATCTTCAGTGTTATTTGTCCTGACCAACTATACCAGCTTCAGTCCCTTTCCCAACGCCACAACGTAGCTTCCCTGGGCCTTTTCTATAAATACTTTCATGGTAATTGTTCTGATAAACCTTCCGCTGTGATACCTAGATTTTATGAATTCAAGTGCAGTACAAGTTTGGCAGCAATGTCTTATCCTTTTATAGTTGAGATAGCTAGATTTAACATCTATGCTAACAATTTAACAGTTCTATGCTAACAGTTTTTCCTATCGCGCTTCTCGCTTGTGGAACTCTCTTCGGCTCCCTGTTTCCCAGTCAACTTTGAACTTCAAAAATATAAATGCAATGTCAATCGTTATCTTCTGGCTTCTTAATTGTTGCTTTTTTTTTATTTTCATCTTTCCTGAAGAGTAGTTTTCTCATATTCTCTAAGACTCAGTAACCCCTTGCGTCCTAGTAGCTTGGGATGATAAAAAAAAGTATATATTTTCTAAAATAAACTCAGCTAAGCCGTACAAAAACCACAAGCCCTCGGTATCAATTTTGATCATATAAAAGTCTTTAGAACTTTTTGCGTCTTTGTTTATTGTTCGATCTTCTGTCACGTTAAGTCGAAAAAGAAAAAGAAGGGATTGTTTCAAAAACACAAGGGCTAAAGATTGCATGAAGTAAGCAGCTGCTGCTTGTAATACTACTACTAATGATGCTAACAAAAGCGGAAATATGAATAGTTGTATAAGATCTTCAGAAAAAAATGTTTGACGTATGTGTTACATTCATCATGAGTAAATAATTCCTTAATTTTTAGGATTATTAGGCTTTTTCTGATTTTTCTGATTTTCTTTTTGAATTTGATCGTGATTACGATTCCAATGTAATAAATTATAACCATGGAATATTAGTGTTTGAGCCTTTTATATTATATTCTTGCTCTGTCGTTGACATTGAGCTCTACCTGGAGTCTATCCTCTTGGAAATTTATATATATTATATATTTATAAATTTCCAAGAAGATAGACCACTAATATTATCTATCTATCTATCTATCTCTCTCTCTCTCTCTCTCTCTATATATATATATATATATATATATATATATATATATATATATATATATATCAGGGTAATTTTAAAGCAATTAATAGATTTTTCTCATAAGATTTTCGATCTCTAAACCGTTAAACATTAATTTCACTGCTTAATATTTAATTTCATTAAATATATAACGTTTATATATATATATATATATATATATATATTGTTGTTGGATCCCGCGTGAAAATAGGTATCCAATAAATGACAAACGCAAGTATTTAAGCTAAGAAATTAAATGTATTTACACAAAATACAAAAGGTTACAATGCTGTTAGTAAAATCCAGGAACACGGTTAGTAGCAAATACAGATAGATATATACAGTCCCGAAGTAGGACTTCCTTGGAGTCTACGTGCTTGGAACTGACTTCTACAAGAGGTTACTTCACTCCATCCGACACCCTACGACTCATGTACGACTCCGGTACGACTCCCTCTCTCTGCCTGACTGTGGCTATTTCATGGCAGCAGGAAGAGTCCATTATATCTGAAAAGGGTGGACCCCATAACAGTATATATATATATATATATATATATATATATATATATATATATATATATATATATATATAGCAGATGCTTTTCTTTAACATTTAATTTTATATATATATATATATATATATATATATATATATATATATATATATATATATATATATGTGTGTATATAGGCAGATACTTTTATAAAGCCGAAAGTGGGGACGATCAACGAGAGAGCTGTGGCGGTCGCCTGTATTGATCTTATGGACTTCTCCATTGACAAGTAATAGAAAAGACTTGTTAATTGCGAAGATTCTTTCAGAGGCTCTATAGGTGGAGAATTGCTGCACAAACTCTCCATCCACTTCAGGAATCTTGAAAGAATCTCTCTTTGGTTCTACCCTCCTTCGCGTTCATATTAACGATCAACCTAAGCACATTCTCAAATCGTCACTAGATATCTACGCAAAATTTAGGACAGTGCATCTACAACAATCTCGATGACCAGAACCTACATGATGAACATAATTTCTTTTTTTTTTTTTTTCTTTTTTGATCGCGAAAATATTTTTTTTGTAACTTTCAGTACCGCGAAAACAAAACTAGTAACTTTTGATCATCTCCGAGCAGACCATGGATTCTCGTCAGTCACGATGAAAGG